ACTAGGCTGAGTAAGCAAGATGTTCTAGCAGGTTCCACCACAGAGGTATAAATATAAGGCCTACTCTGCCTGGGGACTGTCTCTTCAGACTTGGTCTCTTAGGATCATCAACAGGTACCTATACTGTAGAAAGGTCTTAGTCATCAGGTCTACTCCACTTCCTTGTTGCCTGCTTAGACTCTTGGCACTCTTAGGTGAGCAGACTTAGTCAGCCTGTGTTGCCCTAAAACCTTTCCAACCAGGGAATGGCTCGCTTTTCTCCACAGCAACCTCCCAGATCCACTCCACCACATGTTGCATGCTCTATGTATCCAGTGAGCTGAATGCAATACAGACTATCAATGACAAAAACATACCACAATATGATCATGCCAGCTGCCCATCCTCAACAAATCATACACGGTGATGTACTTGCAAAGCCAGTCAACATGAATAAGGATGATAATCAAGTTTGTATGCATGACTACTCACCCTTGCGAAAACACCACTGCCAAAGATACAGCTGCCAACACAGCAGGAATTGAATCCAGGTGAAGCACAAACCAATTGACACTCAAATGCAGTTATTGAAGTCAGCCTGCCTTGCCTTCCACTTGGCTGTGGTAGCCGTATGCCCACAAAATGATGCATCTAGGGCAATGTCTGGCCCCAAACACTGTCAAATGGTGTTCTCCATGCTGTCAAACAGTGTTTTCCACACTGTCCCCTAATCCTCCTGTGCAATTGTAGCCAGAGGGACATGGGATAGGATAGAAACCCACATCTTCCATCACTGCATCTGTACTGGGAGGGAGCCAATAACAGTTGCACTCCCATGGGTGCTGGTCCAAAGACAGTGCATACTGTCCATTTTTTCTCCCCATTGAGTGTCCAGCAAATCAGTTATCAACACAGGTGGAGAAGTTGTAGTTGGCTTTGTTGGGATAGAGAGGGGTGGGTTAGGGGGCCTGGGGGGATGGATGGGTGGGAGAGAGGGCATTGAATGGGTGGGGGAGGGGGTGTTGAATGGGTGGGGGAGGGAGTGGTGGTGTTATGGAGAGGATGAGCACTGTGCGAACAGTTACTTGTCTTGGCCCATTGCAAGAAGATGCAGGGGTGGGCAGACTGTTTTGACGAGATGAGCACTGCATGGTCAGTTACTCAGTCTTGGCCCATTGCTGGTAGGAAGTGCAAGGCTGAGAACAGGATCTTGCGCTTCAGAAACACTATCACCAAGATGAATGCAAAGGCACAAACAATCAGATCTGGCACTTGAGGGAGAGGGTGAGTTCAAGGTGTGAAGAGGCACCATCTTGCATGTGAACCCACCAAGTGAAGCAACCCATAAGGTATTGCTCCACTTACTTGCTGAACCTCTCTGAGAGAGGCCCAAGCGAGAAGGGGGCTGAGGGGAGGGGGGGGAGGGAGAAGGCATTGGGAAGATGGTTGAGGACAGCAAGGAGGGGGGGAGGACAATGAGGAGGGGGTTGATGACAATGGTGGTGGTGGTGGTGGGAAGAGAAGCAATGGTGGGTGTTTTTGCATGTGCACAGGAGCAAGTGGGAATGGGGCTGTGCATTGTCAGGGCACCACATCACGTGAGCAAGCAGAAGCAAAGATGATGCATCCCCAAGCAAATATTGGCATGTCTCATATGATCACATGCCTTTGCTTACATAATGACTGTGGGGGCTGTTCCACATTGTGTGCACATGATAGTGCTTATGTCATCAAATAGTGCCACCTGTGGTAGTCTTGACAACCCCTTTTCAGGAGACATCACATGACCATCTGCTTCCAGTGGATGCAGATGGGGGATGTGTCATCCATCTTCCGTGAAGTCCTTTTTTCTTCTGCACCACCACCACCACTTCTCTCCTCCCAACCACCACCACCACCACCACCATTGTTGTCGACCCCCTCCTCATTGTCCTTGCCCCCCTCCTTGCTGTCCTCAACCATCTTCCCAATGCCTTCTCCCCTCCCCCCCCTCCCCTCAGCCCCCTTCTCGCTTGGGCCTCTCTCAGAGAGGTTCAGCAAGTAAGTGGAGCAATACCTTATGGGTTGCTTCACTTGGTGGGTTCACGTGCAAGACGGCGCCTCTTCACACCTTGAACTCACCCTCTCCCTCAAGTGCCAGATCTGATTGTGTGTGCCTTTGCATTCATCTTGGTGATAGTGTTTCTGAAGCGCAAGATCCTGTTCTCAGCCTTGTGCTTCCTACCAGCAATGGGCCAAGACCAAGTAACTGCTTGCACAGTGCTCGCCCCATCCACTCCCACTACTCCCTCCCACCCCCATTGAATGTCCAACCCTCCCTCTCCCACCAAACCCTCCTCCATTCCCCCTGCAGTGTCTGTTATTCACAAGCATCATGCTGTTTGTGACTGCCATCACTGGCTTTCAAGATCCGGCAAAGTGATTTGGCACTTTCCTGGGTGAGAAGGGTAAAGAGAGGGTGTTAGATGTCAAAGATGAAGAAGGTATGCACCAAAATGTCTAACCTCATATCTATGCTAACTGTTTGTGTAGTTATTGGTCCTTCCATGCACATGCTGCTCACAGCAATGCACACTGAGGACACTGAAGAAGGGAATGCAGGTGTGTAACTAATTTTCAATGTAAACAGAGCTATGAACTGACTAAGAAACCCAGGTTTGACCACTAGATGTTCCCCCTGCATGGTAGATGAACTGCTTGCATCACAGCAATGTTTGGCATTGAGTGGCAAGCTCACACTCCTTCAGGCGTGGAAAGATGGCTTCTGCAGTGTGCTGTTGTCCATTGAGATGGTCATGCTGGCTTGTGTCATTGTCCTACCCCTCCACCTCCATTGACCTTACTGCAAAGGACTGCCAGCATCTCCCCTGAGTGCCAAAGTGCAGTGGGTGGTGCTGATTCATGAGGCGTTCTCTGTGATGGATCCCACCCTGGGCTGTGCTGTCCTTGGACTGGTCAACCCAAGGTGGGTGGTCCACCTGAAGAGACTGCACAAGTGGGCATTTGCTGTGGCCTGTTGCAATCTCTCCACAGCCCCTTCTGCTGAACTGTGGCAAATGTATGTGCACCTCAACACTGCCTGGTGCATGCAGATTGAGTGGGATCTGTTCCAGCACCCAATGAGCTTCCAGGAAGCAGAGCAAGTCTGGTTGGTTGCTCAATGCAAGGTCTGTGACCTCCTTGGTATATGCAATTATATCGACTTGTCATACCTCCAGCAATACCCTCTGTCTTTGAAGAATCAGCCCTTTACCTGCAACTTTGTTGGTGTGCTTGCAGATACTGTCCCCCTTGCCAATTGTGATCAACTTTTTCGAGATGGGGTGCCACTGCTGGAGCCGGATTCCCTCAGGAGGAGGGACAAGTGTCTCACAGATGACTGGGTTTGGGAATGCTTGGCAGAGTTGTTGGCATCTGCCTCGAACACACTGATGTGCATATGTGCCAACAAGCTAAGGTGTCCACTTGACCAAACTCTCACAGGTGTAAGGCAGCAAAGACATGACTTGCAGAAGCCAGCAAGCCATCCTCAACTCCTGATGTCAATATGGAGCCTGTGGCAAGCCAGTTCATGGAGCAGCAGGTGGCCTGCATGCATGTCAGAGTGCTGAGGGCAAATGCAGCACTCAGACCAAGTGCAGCCTTTCCCATGGCATGAGCAAGTTCCTCCCAGCCTAACATGATGCTGGCCACAGTGTTCCACAACTACCTGGGATATGCACCTGGTGCTGACTCACTTCCCATCCTGTCCAAGCTAGGGCCCAACACAACAACTGAGTTGATGGCCACCTCTCTGTGTTCTGAGAAGCTGCTTATGGCTCCAGACTTGCATGCTGACCCCACTTTTGTTGAGAAGTATGCTGAGCTGTACTGCACCATGGTGAAGGAGCAGAAGACATCTGCCAGTCTTCCATGCAAACTGGAGGAGGTCCCTCTACCCATCTTGGGGAGTCTCACCAAGTGGTTGGCTGCAGCACAGTGCCCCATGGATGTGGTTGGCAAGAGCAGCATTTTGCTGGGCAAACATGCTGATGACTTTGACATGCTGGATCTTGGAGAATTGGATATTGCTGATGGGAATGGAGCTGAAGACTGGCAGAAGGCCAAAGAGAAGATGGAGAGGGAGATGGAGAAGCTGGAGAAGCAGAGGGAAAAAGAGCAAGTGATGTGGGATGCTGCTCTGGCCATGGGCAAGGGGGGTGTATGCATGCAGACTAGCACAGGCACACCATTCTATGTTCGAGCCCCTTCGCCAGTGGTCTTTGATGACTACCCTCCCCATATCTCTGAAGAAGTGTTGTCTCTGGCTGCAGCAATCCCTGAGCAGCCTGCCACACCTGGACCTGCCAAGTTGATCTCTGCAAGTCCTCCTTCCTCCCCCCCTCAAATACCTGGTCCTCCTGCTGCTTCATCAACTGAAGCAGCAAAAAAGTGGAGCTGGAAGGAGTGGAAAGCTCATAGGAAGGCCCAGAAGGAAGCACAAGACGGGGAGCATGAGGCCAAAGAAGCTGATGTAGAACTTCTGCACAAATGAACAACCCATACATATATAGTTTCTTAATGCAAACTGTGCTTGCCATCACTGTTATCTTATCACCATGGTTGACCTGTATGCTCATGGAATACTGTACAGTATATAAACCAAGTAATCCAATTAGTTGTACATAGTCTACAGTGCACTGGCAGGCTTCAAGTGAGGAGCCAAACCTCAACACTCCAAGCCCTCTATGATCGCCTCATTCCTCACCTTGATCACCTTGTCAAGGAAGAACTTGAATTGAATGGCACTCATCTCTCACAGCTGACCTTGATACTTGCATATCCACATGTTGGTCTGCTCCCACACCAAGGAGTTGAAC